TACATGCAGATTAACCACACACACACACACACACACACACACACACACACACACACACACACACACACACTCACAGAAACACACACAGACAGAGACACATACACACACACACACACACACACACACACACACACACACACACACACACACACACACACACACACACACACACACCAGTCATGCTAAGCTCCACGGTGTGACAGCATCTGATGGTTATCTCATTTATGTTTCATTGTTACCTCCTGTGAGAGTAAACAGCTGATGTTAAATTCAGATCAACGCACAGCCATGTTACTGTTCCTCTCAGAGTGTGTGACGACAACATTAGTTTATTAATATTATTATTCTTAGAGTAGGGGTCTTAAAAGGATTATCAGTGTGTCAGTGTTATCCAAACTCTCTCCGGAGAACCTCGGGCTATGTTAGCCTCCATCATGTGACCACGCGAGGACTTCATCTGCTCTCAGTTAGCCGCAGTGCAGCGTGGGAGATTTTATAAAAAGTGAAATAAAAGATTGATGACGTCATCATTGTTATTAACGCGGATTCTGTTTTGTTGTTGTTGTTATTATTGTTTGTTTTAATTATTACTGTGTTCAGTTTGAAAGAGTGGTTGTTGGTGCCACATCGGTACAGGCTGACCATGATGACGGACATAATACTGAAATATAGAGATTATTATATACTTTTTTCGTATCCAATGCCTTGTTGAGATTATCTGTATGTTATATTGTTATTTCTTATTTAAGCAAAAGAGAAACAGGCACAAATAAAACACTACAAAAATGCTACTACAACTACTACTGCTAAACATAATACAATGGCCTCATTCATATTGTCCCTATCAAATCGCTTGTTTGCATTATTCAATAATAGCAGTTTTTTGCGTGTAATTTTCGTAATAATATAGCTTAATTAATATTTGCATTATAGAATTACAGCTGTAGTTGTATTAGTATTTTTCGTAAAAAATACATATAAAATAGCTACAACTACTACAACTAGAATAATAATAATGTTTGCACACGTTTGGTAATATTGTTATGTTGCCTAATGGATTTTAAAATATGTTTGTATAGGTTAATATTAATTACACGTCATATTGTAATGTAGGAAGTAGAGAAACGCACGAAAAGCTACTATTTTTCCTTGGATTGTCAGAGCTGTAATATTAGCCTATACTGCATGACATGTCAAATACGTACACAGAGACCAAATACTACTGGCTGGATTAGAATAGCTCTAATGGAGTTGGAATGTTAATATTTGTGCAGAAAACAGAGAAATGTACTTCCGCAGTATACTGGACTAAAACGACTTCAATATAATCAGTCTTCTTCTCGCAGTAAGCACTATCTCTGACAATAGATCAGATAATAACAGGATTTATTTTATATATTTGTATTATGATATTATGCCAACGTCAAGGTGTTTCTTCTCTCTGCTGCATGCAGTCTGAGTTTGAGTCCGTAGAGACACTTTTCTGCCTCCTTGTTTTGTCAAAGTCTCGCAGTTTCCCTCCTTTATTGCCGCCATATAATCCTGCTGCAGGGTCATAAAGCAACAGCATGCATTTGGAGAATAAACGTGACTTTCCCCCCCAAACCGAAGAGTGAGGAGCCGCCATAAAGCAATTTAGCCCAGACAGTCTTATATGGTTTTATTGGACACCCTTTCCTGCCTCGGAGCCTCATCTGCAGCTCGAAATGTTAAAGTCATTGTCTGCAGCAGACACATCTCTGCTCACCACAAGACCCCAGAACACATGACCATTTCACTATGCAGGGGATTAAACCGGAAACAAGGGCGTTAATGACTGCAGGGCGTTTCAGTCTGGATTTGTGGGTTGTTTTGGTGATGTTATACGCAATGATTCACTTTTTAAAAACGGATTAATGCTTTAATTTGATCTATATGATGTAGTTTACATTCAAAATAGACATGCATGATGCAGCTGGAGCGCCTCGGATTTGGTTTTAATGTATATATTTTTATTTCTGTTTTCTTGCTAAGACTGCGAAGTGTTTCAGTCTGAGTTTGGGTTGTTTTACCCATTCCTTTACGGTTTAAAATCCATATGATTTGAGTGGCTTTATTTTAAATACCATGTAGCATCAATGCTGCATTGTACAAAAGGCCCACAGCTTTAATGATACAATTGGCTTTCATTAAAGACATACTTTTAATTATATTTCTGATTTCTTGCAATGAATGCAATGAAAATATCATGCTTGTCTCATTTTCTAAATGATCTCAAATATCTCTGCACACCACATGATCTCAAAACACATGATCATTTATCTATAGGGAGTTAAAACGGAAACAAAGGCGTAAATATGACTCGAGGTCTGATTTGGGTTGTTCTGGGGATGTTTCATGCAATCCGGATTATTGCTAAAGTCTTATCTACATTTTACACTTTAATGTCCAGCATTAAAAGCTGTTGTGCCTCGTACAATTTGCTATAATATGTATTTCTGTTTTCTTGCAATGACTGCGAAGTGTCTCAGTCTGAGTTTGGGTTGTTTTACGCATTCCTTTACGGTTTAAAATCCTGATTATTTGTATGGCTTTATTTTAAATACCATGTAGCATCAATGCTGCATTCTGCAAAAGGCCTACAGCTTTAATGATACACTTGGCTTCATTAAGGACACACTTTTGACTATATTTCTGATTTCTTGCAATGAATGCGATGAAAATATCATGCTTGTCTCATTTTTTTAATTATCTCAAACATCTCTGCACACCACAGGATCTCAAAACACATGATCATTTAACTATAGGGAGTTAAAACGGAAACAAAAACGTAAATATGACTGCGAGGCGTTTCAGTCTGGATTTGGGTTGTTTTGGAGATGTTTCACGCAATCCGGATTATTGCTAAAGTCTTATAAACATTTTACACTTTAATGTCCAGCATTAAAAGCTGTTGTGCCTCGTACAATTTGCTATGTATTTCTGTTTTCTTGCAATGACTGCGAAGTGTCTCAGTCCGGATTTTGGGTTGATGTTGGAGACGTAATTCTTTACTGTTCTAAAACCCGTCTATTGCTTTAACGCCATCTAAATTGTATAGTTTTAATTGACAGCATTCAAAAAGGCCCATGGTGTAATGCCTCATACGAGTTGCGATGATAAAGGACAACACTGTAACTATAATTATCTATTATTGCAAAAGAATTGGATAAAAATAGGATTCTTGTCTCATTTTTACATTACATCTTCGGGGCACTTACGTATTTATGTCCATGTCAATTGTACGTTGATTTTCAATAAGAAATAACTACATTAAAGCTGAGAAATCAAATACCAATGAAACGTGTATTTACAACAACAACAAAAAGGCCTATTCATTTTTATTAACTTTCCTAAATTACGTTTTTTGGAATGTATTTGTTTTCAAGAATGGCCATTTTCTGGTTCTGAATTAAAACCCATTGAAATGTCTACTAACGTCTATCATGACAAACTTTAAAAACCTAAATTTAAAGACCCAATCTCACGCCGAACACACTGAAACATGCAGCCGAAGTAGTGCACAATAAAGACAAAACATGTACATAATCAAATAGATTTAAAAAAAAGATAGGAAGTTATA